GTAAGCACTTTAATTTACTGCTTCAGTGAACTGAAAATAATGGTGACTTGGAGCCTGTCAAGCGCACATAGTAAATCGGAGACGGGAGGAAGAATTAATATTATGCTAGATAAAAACCTTTTTGAAAGGGAATAGAGATGAATTTTTAAAGTTTAGATGAAAAATAACAGATCGTGATTTATTCTTTTGAAAAAAAATATATGAGATATTCCATTCTGTGTTTTTTTAAAAGTGTTTGAGAAATTTCGCATCAAGTCATGTTAAAGACTATCACATTCATTTTTGTGAAATTATTTTATGTTTTATCTTCCAAAAATAAAGAAAAGGAGTAATCAGATTTGGATTTTTTGAAAAATAAATTGGATCATTACACGAAACGGAAGATAAATTGAAGTGGAACGAAGACTCCAGACTAATTAATTTCTCTCCTTTACATTCTAATGGAGTATGAGGAAACCAGAGTTGGATCGAGCTGTGTCATGGCACTTTAAAAGACATTTTTTAAATATTTTATATTATATTGAAATATGCATTGATTAAAGTTTGACAAAAAGATTATTTCATTTATCATAATTTTGGTCCTAAGGGACAGCTGCAAAAAAGAGCATCGAATTATTCTAGATGCTCAAGCAAACCCAGGATATTTAATTAATTATTTGATAATTAATGTGTTAATTTTAATTTGTAGGTCAAAATTTTACGCATTCACTACACCAATATTATATATCATAATATTCTTAGTCTAAAAATGAGCGTTCCTTCTGTACATCTTGGATAATTTTTGATCCGTTTGCGCAATTATGTCGTAACGTAAGTAAACATGGATAAGTTTTGCTGAGTTTCAATTATTCTTTAAATAAGGTTTCTCTTTCTCTTCTAAGTTTTTATTTCGTTCTGCTGATATTTTCAACAACAGACAGACATAAACCTACTACAAAATAAACATTAATATAGCAACTATTTAAAAAATGCTTATGTTGCTTCATATTATGCCATTTCATGACAGATGTAAATTTATAATCAGCCCATCAAGGACCTAGTGGGTTAAGGCTTGTCAAGGCACAGTTGAAGAACGTGAATCGCAAGAAGGTTAGGGGTTTTATCTTTTAGCTGAGCTTTTAAGCAGCATTATTCAAAAACTGTAAGACCAATTTGCGCTTCAACAACGAATATCTGGCTGTTGGAGGCTGTCCTAGTCTTCCCCCAAACTAAATGTAATGCGGATGAGTTTCCTCTGAAGGTACTCCAGGAAGGCAAATTACCCCATATAATGAAGCAAGGTCAGAGTTATACCTTCGGTACTATGCCTTCGTTGTCGCTTGATCAACAGAAAATGCCACAAAACATGGCATGTGCCCTTGACTCAATTTGCTAGACCAAATTGGATTAGGATCAGTCTGATCCCAGTTGCCTGATATCCTCCCACAGCCTGATTTGCGAAACAAAATCGCAATAATCGCATTAAAATTTTGCTTCAATAAAGAAGCTCCTGGAAGAAATTTTTAAATATATATTGATTGAAGCTCTACAAATTTAAATTATGCCATCTTTAAATTACTTTCCTCCTCTATTCCCTCACTTTCTCCAATGTTCGGAGAGTTATTGAAAACATTCTTCGAATCCAGTGTCTGAAAGTGCCATCAGCCATCTTACCGTGTTTTGAATGACTTTATTGTATTTCGAGAACCGTTTCCTTTTTAGCCTCGGAAATAGATAAAAATCGACTAGTGCAAGCCCGAGTTTGGTGAATGCTCAAGAGATATTGCATTATTTTTGGCAATGCACTTTTAAAAAATTATTGATGGATGTGTAAGGTCACTGTGATGTAACAAAATCCATTCGTTTCTTGCCTCATTTTCAAAGCGTCTCGTTCTAATAGTTCCTCGCGGGAAGCGAAAAAATCCCAATAAATTTACCTTATTCATATCTTACCATTCATTCTGTGGGATGAATTCATAAGGAATGTCATTGTCAAAACCGTCTCCAAAAGCACTTCCATAAATTTTTGTACGCTTTTAAAACCTGTAAAATCATCATGAAAGCACTTGTGCAAGTCCTTTATTTTTGAAGGTATGACAAAACATGAGCAACAGGAATGTTGCTTAACCCTCCATTAGTCGCAATATCTAATAAATGTCCTCTGCTGTACGGTATAATTTTTTTCAACCGAAAATTTTCCAAATGTGGCAATCCAAAAAAATCTAATTTGCAACCCTACGAAACGAACATTGAAATGTGTTCAACGAAACTTCATTTTTTGCCGTTATCCAAAATGGCCGTCGTTTGGCGAACATTTTAAAGTTTTGCCAATTTTCACAAGATTGGCAACGAGACCGTACCGGAAACTTGAGACTACTAATGCTTTGAAAAAGTTTATTCCTCATCGGACAGCTGAAGCTGTGAATGGAGGAGACACACTGGACAATTGTAAGCCATTACTCAGACCAATGTCTTGTCCTATGTAATGCATCGCTCCCAAAACCAACTGGTGGTTTAAATTGTAACCTTTGTTAAAAGTAAATTCTGATGTCAAATTTAAAAAATCCGGTCTCATTTCCATCCTTTATACGTAAACGCATCTTTCTATCCTTACTCGGTTGCGAATCATTGATATTTTTAAAATTAATCGCAACTTTTGAATCTCCCTGTATTTCCAATTTTTAATGAATATTAAGGGATTTTCTTTTTCATAATATTTATTTTAGCTTAATTTCCTTTTAATATCATCTTCAGCGTCTTACCAATTCGTGATTTTTGTTTTCACCTTGAGATATCTGATTAAAAAATTTTCTAATTTTAAAAGTTCATTAATAACAGCGTGATTTTAAAAGTAATTATATATTTTTTTACTTTTTAATCTTCAATGTATTTGTTAATTTTATATTTATTATGGAATTTTGTAGCTGTTTTTCACAAATTCATTAACATACGACGATCTCTCATATTGAATCAAATTTAGTTAAAACGAATCAATTATCGGTAATTAAGTGTTAAAAAGATTAAAATAGTGTGTTGTCTTCGAAATCACACAACTTTACAGAATCTCAAAACTCTAGCAGTTAAGGAAATAAACAAAAATCCATTACAAATTCCCTCCTAAAAATACGAAAGTCATATAAATATGTGTAAAACAATAAAAAATTATTATAAATTTGGATTTTTATGTTTAATAAATTTTAAGCGCTGTAATATATTTTGTAGCTTTCTGCTTTTCCATAGCTCTAACTATATAAAATTATATAATCTTGCATCTTGAGACGATTCAAGCACTAACACATGTAAGTAAGCTCCTATTCCAGCCTACTGATCAAGTCGGTATATGTCTCTATAGGTACAGGCCTTTGAAATTAATCCAGAACATTTACACTGTTACGTTGCTCATAATTGTTACTGATACAATCTTTAATAAACCATCGTAATTAATACCATGTCATAAGGACAATTGCCAGACTTATCCAAACACACACAAGACTATTTCATGGATACGTAAATTACCACGCTTATCCAAACATTCCCCTTTCAATTGAAGCCAAGTGAATCATTTGTTGTATTAAAATTCTCGAAAAGTCAATGTTCTATCAAAACACAAGAGCGCTTCTCTGGAAGCGATGGAGCGATTTTTCTAATTATGTCTAGTGTTCTAATTATAGATATAAGGATATTATACGGCAGCAGACTCAAGACAGATCCCAAGGAATAAGTTAATTTGTTTCCCTCGACGAACTAATGATGACCGTAGTACGTTGGAAAATTAAAGTACGTCGTAACAGGGTCCGAGCCGGCCATGTAATTAAGAACAGATTCCAGCGAGCCATTATTTAGACTGGAATGAAGCAGCGTGATTTCAAACCGATAAAGTGACTGGAATCACTGCGACGGCTCCTTTAACTTTGCCTCAGCACGATTTCGATTGCAGAAAAGTGTATTCGATTTATTGGTCTCTCCCCGTCAGGGATTGAAAGATCGATTTTTATTCAAGTTTAATTACTTTGCAGTTTTATTACAAGAGAATAAAAATCGTGACATCGTCATTACGCAACGTCGAGCTGGAATACGAATGCCCGCTATACATTAAATCATTTATCATGCTTCGTCTTCACATTTAGAATGGTATTTTATTATAATTTGATTAAAGCATACTATCTGTACAAGGTTAATAATAGGTAAGGTAAGGTAAGTTACAAATTTTATGGCACAAGGTCGAATGGAAGTCAAGCTGAGCCAAACCTATGGCGAGTGCCTCAAATGTTTCAGTGAGTAACATGTTTATATATCGAATATAAAAATTCGATGCATTTTCAAAAGCATAAAACACAGTGAAGAAACAGATTAAATCCTTGATAGACAAAGATAAAGCGTTAAAACTTTAGATAAAATGGATCGAAACTATACCTTCAAGAAAGTAAAATAAGTTATGGTGAGAATTTTCTGCTACTAATTTTCCGTGTTTAAAACAGATGTATGGAAAAAAGTTACTCTTTTGAGAACTGAAAAAGAACTTTGTTTTAAAATATGAGCATTTAATTAATACACCTACAGTTTCAGCACATAGATATTTGTTACTGGTTGAGCAAGCTCTATGCATGTACTGCCATTACAGACAAGCTTAACGTCTGCTCCTTTGGCGGATAAAATGGACCTAAAAATTACAAAGGGCCTGACAGAGTGCAGTTGGCTAACAATAGACCATTCAAGAATTTAGTTCAGTCAGCTATATTAACATCCTGTTTAGTTGCTATTTGGGATGGGCCTCGAGGGAACCAATGGACCTTATGCACCTTTTGGGTTCGAGAGTATAGAAAAGCAGCTGTGGAGGAATAAACAAAACGATCAGCCTATAAGCGACTCAGAAATAAAAGCAGTTCTGAGTCAGCTGTTTAAGACTGACCAATGGCTGCCTCCAGCAGGTCACGTGTTGGAGGATGTGACGTCACATGCATAAGGTCCATTCGAGGACGTTTGATCTACGACGTCAGATTTAGGGTGTATCAGCCCACAAACACTGTAATATCAGGTTTCGAACCTGGAACTCTCCGGACTCGAAGCCGAGACCTTACCACTAGGCCACAGCGGCCTTCGGACCATTCGGGGAATAGTATCCAGTCTGAAAATTTTAGACAACTTTATGTGTCATTTCTTCTGTCTCGTTTATTAACCATGAAATAAGCATTCATAACATAAATTGCAGCTGAGTTTTGTTCACGTCGTTGAGCTTTCTTGTGTCTGTTGTTTTAAATTTGTCTGTTATTTATTGAATATTTTTAAAAGTCAACACTTATTATTACATTTTTACTTAAGAAGGGTTAGTTCTCTAACTCTCAGAACACAATTAACCTCCCTCTTGAAATGCGACTTTATTTAAACTCCAAATTAAATAATATATTTTATTTTGGACATTTATTATTATTTCCTTCCATCTAAGAACGGAAAGCTCACCTGAGACACTTTTAATCTCTTAAATTCATTACTACTTTAACTAAAATGCAGATTTCAACATCAAAAATTGTTTAATTTATTCACGAGTCTGACAGCATTCTAAGAATAATGCTTAGGCATTATTATTAGATTCATTTTGAATTTCTTCAGAAAAGGCCGCTTGTATACCCACTTATAAAACAAAAGGAAAAGTTTAGGTCACATAAGTAAATCATATAAAAAATTATAAGAAAAAATTGCAATAAATTTCAAATAGGAACAAATATTTTTGTACGAGAAACAAAGGTAAACGGAAGATTCAAATATACACAAGAACAAAAAATGAAAATCAGATAATTTTTATAAAGGGGTAGTGAAAGATTAACCCTTCGCACTTCAGAGGCTACTCTCAGTTGCCATTCGAAAGGGTGCATCATTTTGCCGTTTCCTGATTTCGTTGGCTAAAAAAATACCTACAGAGCTGTAAGAAATCCCAGAATAACTTTTCAGGAAAAATGAACTTACACAAATATATTTTTACGTTTCGAAGCAATAGATTGAACCCTTGTAATCAGTGAATATTTATGTGTCTAACTACTTTTCCAAGTGCAAAGTAGTTAATATTAAAAATGCATACGCAAACGTACATAGATTTTATAATCTAAGCAATGAGGGAAAATGCAGTTTGTCCACAAATTATCGGGATTCCCTTACCTCCTTACTTGCATGACGATACATGATGACAAATATTATTACATGTTTGTACAGCGAAACTCAAAAAGTTTTTTTTAATATCACAACGTTAAGTAATTTCCAAATGGCAATCTCTCGCAGTATGTAACCCATAGACACTTGGCTGGAAATTGCGTTCAGTCTCGATATGTTACGTGTCAAGAAAGGCTGCCACAGCTTTTGTATTAAAGGTGTTTTTATAGCTCTCACCTCTTAGAAGTTTTGCTGCTTTTATTTTGTCCAAGATACTTAAATACTTAACTGCTCTTGTATAAAGAGTACATGCATTTTACTAACTTAAACCTAGATACATCGAGACTGAACCAGGCAAATGTCGATGGGTTACATGCCGCGAGAGATAGCCATGTGGGAACTACTTAACTTTGTGTTATTAAAACCTTTTTGAGTTGTACTTTATTAATATGTAATAATATTTGTCGTCATGTTCTTTAATTTATGAGAGGAGGAAACCTCGACAATAATTTGTGGATACCCTCTATTTCCAATGAACGCACAAAATACTACAAACGCTAATCTTCTCTACACAAGGATACAGAAAGGAGAAAGCCATGTGATGTTAATATCCTGATTAATTCAATTTAAACATAATGTACCATAGTTACCAAAATTAAACAAATTTATTAGTTAGATATTAATGGTTGTTTTCTCAGCAAACTAGAAATAAAGCAATAAAAAATTTCTTGCTAATACTTTTTAATATCTTGTAATCAGCTTTGTATGAAACAAAAATTCAATTACGATATCGAACATAATGCTCTGCCCTCTAAGAGCATTCTTTCTGCAGCAAATATTCCTTATTTCTTCGATTTCGGTTCAATTACGAGGAAGCCATTGTTCTTCGCAAATCCTAAGTGAGCCTTCAAAGGAAAGGGATCTTTCTGTGATAATATCTGCGCCCAAAAACCGCCATCATTTAATTCTCCGCCACTGTTGATCTTCTAGATAAAGCTCCGGAGACGACAGTTCTGACAGTTCTTTATCGGAAATAGTCCTATTGGTTGAAACAATTCGCTTGTTACATGGATGTTATCCGTCAAAGTTAGAATCCGATACGGCGATCACCTTTCGCGAGAATGCAAGGATTTGGGACACTTTCTACGAGGTGAAATGGAACTGTTTAAATTTATTTTGCAATCCAGTAAACCCTGTATTTCCTCTTCTCAAAATTCTTTTATTTATTATAAAAATACTGATTCCGGGCATTGGATTTGTTAATTTTAATAAAGTAGATTTTCAGTCCTGTGGTTTTATTATTCTAACAAAGAAGGAATATGAATGAATTAAAAGCAGTTTATAAATCACACTTTTATTAGTGTAAGAAACAGTATATTTTTTTATTTTAATTACTTTCCAATTTTTAATCTTCATATCAATTTTTCCCTCGAACTAACTACCAGGTGGTGCCACTGGTAAGGAATCGAAATTCAATTTAATTAATGATTAACTGATACTTAAGTTACGAAAGCACCAAAATAGTATAGCGTCATCTAGAATACACAAGTGTATTAATTTTCTATTGCTATGTTAATAGTTAATGAAGATAGAAAAAAATAGTTATCCCCTTGACAGTTAAAAGAAAGATAAACTTTTTCTTCTGATGATTTCCAAAAAAGCTGGAAGAACTTCCTGTTTTTTCTCCAGAATCCCGTTTTAAGAGGACCTAAAAGCTATGATAATACAGAAAACTGCAGTGTTATTGGGACAAAGATAGAAAATTAGTGTGGTTAAAGATCTAGCATTCATTTATCTTCTCCTACCACAGCAAAAACTCTTATTAGTCTAGAACTGCAGTTCCTAACCTTTATTTCCTCCCTAACCTCTTGATTAGTGTTTTTAATTTTGAGTACCCCTACTGTCCGAACTGCTTTCCTCCCCTCCCAACCATTCCGTCGCACAAAGAAGATTTTAATAATAAAGTTCAAAGGTTAACTTAAAGAGTCAAATGACTTGAATTAAGTAGAAACATTTGCAGGACTTATTTTTGATTTTTTTTCCTTTTTTTATACAGGGTAACAAAAAAGTATAGGGATCATTTTTTAAGGCTTTTATTTCCAAAATTTATTACACAAATTCAGAGATGCTTCTCAATATGTCGACCTTCGGCATAATAGATTTATCTACAACGCTTCGGCCATGATTTCAAAGCCCGCAAAATTATTTCCTGGGGGATTTTCTTCACCTCTTCTCTAATAGCCTTTTGAAGACTCCTCAGCGTAGAAACTCTTCTCTTATTCAGTTTGTTTTTCAAATGTCCCCATAGGAAATAGCCACATGGTGCAGCATCAGGACTGTGTGGCATCCATTGTTGTGGCCTCAGGAATTGCACTTGCTGATCCGTGAGGAATTTCTGGGTGACCCTAGATGCATGCGATGGGGCAGAATCCTGATGGAAAACAGAATCACCATTTGGGTGCAATCTGCAGTAATCATCCTTAAGAAAGTGCTTTAATATCTTCTGTATGTAATACTCAGAATTTATTTTGGCCCCAGGTTGCACAAACCGTGGTTTGGTAACACCATTGGCGGAAAATGCCCATCCAAACCATTACGCCTTTGGGATGAGACACCGTGGTTGACGAAATCAAATCTCGCCTGTTCTGTTCACGGCTAAGATATTAAACTTTAGATTTAGCATTGGCATCGGATAGATATATCCAAGCTTCATGAGTTGTAATGAACTTTCGCCATCTGTCCTTACGGAGAAGCTTATAGAGTGGCCATGAACGTTGCCTCCTAATCTGAACCGATCTCTCATTTGTGATGACATTTAGGTTTTTTATGGCATTTCTTCTTTAACGGATGTTTTAGTTGATAGCTTACAACTTGCTGGCTCACGTTAAGAGCTTTAGCCATGCTTGCCTGTGTTGGTGGATTCGGTTTCGATGCCATCTTCTCAAGCTTCTGCAAATCTGACTTTGCTGTCCATTTTTTATTGGTTTTGAATCCTTTTTCGTCGATCCGAGTTTTGAATTCTTGATGCGACTGATATGGCTGAGTGAAACCGCAATACTTTTCTTTTTAAAATGGGTTTGTATAATCCTGTGGCTCCATCGAAGTTCTAAAAGTGCTTGTACTTGACCAATCAGCATTTGGTTAAATTTCTGCAAAGGCATTATTGTGATTTTATCGAACAGTATTGCAATCAAAAGTTTAATGGTGGAGCTTTCCGTCTGTATGCTACATATGTAAAAAAGGTTTTATAACTTTACTGGTAGATAACCACAAAAGTGATCCCTATACTTTGTTACTCTGTAATAGCATTATTTCCACGTCCTAACAAATGAAAAGCGCATTGAAATAATTTCGCATTATTTTATAATGAAATCTAACAATTACTGATCGTGATAATCAACTTTTCGAGTAAGAGAGAGTTTTTATGTGATTCTTGGTATTGTTTCAGTTTCATAAAATTAAGTTCAAATGAAGGCAGATATAATCTCATCTTCTTCAAGGTTAATACAATATTTAATGGTGGGATATAAGTAATCGTGTATGTCAAGTTACCCCTATCGATGACGGGTCGTACATCTGTCAGAGGGGTCGTCGAGTGAGATGCTCGCAATGGGGGCTATAATGGGATGACAGTGCCCGATTAATTGTCTTGGCGGCCAGGTCATCTATGTTTTTTCGGCACGCTACGGCTGGACAGGAGTAACTCGTTTATGGCTATGGTTCATGCAATATTTGTTATGAACATATGCATGAGACGAGTATGCTGCTTCCACAAGTTATGTGTTCTTGAAAAGTGTTAAACATATTATTTCTTTAACACCGAGTTTTTTGGAACTCTTCTTTCGCTGCCACCCAGTAAGATTTCGAACTTGTACAACTTTCACTTTTTTCATGAACTTGAGGCAACAATTTCAGTTTTTTATTTTAATTCCTTATGCTTTGTGTTTTCCG